CCTCGGGGTAGGTGGACCTGAACAAGCAGCTGGCCAACCCCCTACTGTGTGCTCTGATACAGATTAATTCATACACACACACACACACACACACACACACACACACACACACACACACACACACACACACACACACACACACAAAAACAAACACACACACCATACAAAAAAAACCAATCAAGCTAGCCATTCATTTCTACATACATAAACATACAGTATGATGGTCAAAAGGAGATCTGGGGAAAGAGGGCTGAAGGGCCGGGCAGCGGGGGTGGGTGGGTGGGGGTGGGGGGCAAGACCTGAGCGTAAAACCCTGCAGCGTTAGACAGCAAAATACAATGATACGCGGAAATACAAATGTGCTAATACGAATGAGCAGAAACACACTCCGATCAGATGCCCACATGTTGAACACATGTTGGGTTCACGAAGGGGTGTTCCGAGAGCCTCACAGGATTGTGCCTGGCTGATGTTCGCCGAGAACAGTCCTGCTTTACTTTCCACACACACACACACACACACACACACACACACACACACACGCGCTCGCACACACACACACGCACGCACGCACAAAGTCCAATCGCTGAGATTCACTGCCTCAACGCTAGACAATTGATTCCAAGAATGGGAATTCAATTGAAGAGCCGGGAAGGTGAATTTAGACATTGATTTTGAAAGACATTACACACGAGCAAACACTACGGTATGTCGAACTCAAATACGGAACTAAAGCGTTTAAAACTGTGTGTCACCATTTTAGTCTCTCTCTCTTTCTTCTTCTTTTTTTTTTTTGCTTAAAAACTGGAAGCAAAATGTCAACTATTTGGCTCAGTGACAATAATACACTGTACTCAAATGATTGAATGAATGAAAAGAATGAAAAAAAAATGTGGCCGGATTCATTCATGTGAATTCCTTCTCCTCAGCCTCAACCCCATTTTTTTCCTTACTCTTTAAAGATAACTTACAAGCCAGGTGGGAGCATTTTGTGCTCCGACAACTGCCAACTCTCAATCACTTGTGGAAGGTGGATACTTTGTCTCTTCCCTGTGATCCGAAACAATTCCTGATTCTGTCCTTCCACAAAGATTAGGGAAAATTATAAGCCAATTTCCAAGATTAATGGTGGTAATTCTTGACTGCTGGCTCATCGCGAAGCTGCAAGTGTTGTGCCGGCATGCGACTTACCCCTTTTCCCATGATGCCGTTGTTAAAGGGCAGCCCGATGAACTGGAAGGCAGCCTCTTGAATGAAATAAGGGTTGAGGATTCTCATCTCGCTGGGCTCGCGAGGGACGTGCTGGGCCACTGACTTCCAAAAACCCTCGGTACCTCGCTGGGGTCATCCAGGCAGAATAGAAGAAAAAAAAAAGAAAAGAAAAAAAAGACAAAAATGCATTTCATGTTAAAATAAGACGAGCTTTGGGTCAGTGGTTCTGAACCTGGGTTCGATCGAACCCATGTGGTTCGGTGAGTCGGTCTCAGGGGTTCGACGGAGCCTCTGCCATGGAGGTTAAGACATACCCGACTCAACATGTCAATTAGTTATGACACGCCCGCTTGGCCATCACTGGCTGCAGATGATCACATGACATTGCTTGTCCAATCAGTGTTGCGGAAAATTTTGTTCGCGCCACAGTCAACGTGTGACTGTCGTGATAGTACGTCGTAAAATCTTTAAAATCTTATACGTGTGTCTTGAAATTTTATTTCCTTTTTTTTCCCCGTTTTTACTAAATGCATTTTTTAATGTCTTGAATTTGTAAAAAGTCATATTTGTTATTTTTCACTCATGAAGGGTTCGGTGAATGTGCATATGAACCGGTTGGGTTCGGTACCTCGAACAAGGTTAAGAACCACTGCTTTAGGATAGAACATAACTGGCAAGGGGAAGACTTTTAAAACATTTTTTTAGCAACACACAAAAAAGGGTTCATTCAGAACTCAAAAAAAAATAAATGATTGCAGATTTGCACTAACATGGCGATTTCCAGCGAGTTGCAATTCCTCCAACGCAAGCCCTCTGATGCGTAAAACAGAAGAGGAAGTCCATTTTATGCGCGCGCGCGGCTCCCGCTGTCGTCTGTCTTTTATGCGAGGGATGAAAGGCACTTGAAACAGCTATCTGTTTCGTCAGTCTCGAAATTCCCGGCGGGCGGAGAAAATGTTCGCACAACCGTGCATAAACTTGTACGAAAATAGTACGAAAAACAGCTCCAACCAGAACGTGCATTTTGGCAAGCATTAGCGCTCTGGTACACTCTGCTGCGCATTATTTTAACTCTTCAGTGTGAATGTGAGTGACAGACGCAGCGTTTCTTTGAATTTACATATGAAATTACCCATCAGCGTAAACCGGTTCGGATCTGGTTGCCGGTACCTGCGAATTGATACCGGTACACAACTGTACCAATTTTTCGTTCCTTGTGAGTGTGAGTGAGAGAACTGACATCAAAAGGTTGAATATGGCATTTCAAAGGAAGTGATTCAAATCACACCTCGACGTGAGGGAATTGTGGCGACCAAGACTTGTTTTTTTTTTTTAATGTAAAGTAATCAGCATTAGGAGCTTGGCACTGCCTGTCTGTCTAACTGGCTTCCAGTTAGACAGACAGGCAGTGCCGCCTGAACAGAATAATTGCACTCGTTCTCATCAGTCAATTAGACAAAACGGCAAAGAACCCTCGAGAAAGAGGACAAACAAAATGACCAAATCACAATCCGGCAGTGCGTGATTGACTTGGCCAATCGTGTGACTTCCTACAAGGAAATAAAGCCAGCCGGATGATAAGATGTAAATGGGAATCACCTGTTCAAATAAGCGCTTGCTCACTTACCTTTGATATCGCCACATGCATGACTGTGTGCTTGGCGTGCGTGCGTGTGTGTGTGTGCGCGCGCGGGAGTGTGTGTTGGCAGCGGCAAAACAAGTCTGCTGGATTCAACAACAGCGGCGGCTCTTTTTGAACGGAGGCCCAGCTCTGTGCTCTTGGCAAGCTGCAACAGGAACAACAGCTCATCTCTCCTGTCAACACAGCTTGTGTTTGCCAGAAATCTATTTAGCAACGTGTGGACGCGTACACATCTTGGTTACGCGGAATACAGAGAGTCAAGCGTATTTTTCTTTATTCTACGACAAGCTACGAAAAGCTTCCAAGTGATCCCCCAAAGAGTGGCAACTTAAGAAGATACGAGTGTTTGACTTCACAAAGATGGTCACGCAAAGAATTACGAGCACCACCGTGCGGTTAAGAGTTCAGTAAGTAATATTAAAAAGGTTAAATGCGAGTTGTACGTTGTCGAAGACTGAAAAGAAGTAGCGAGGCCAGCCGGGAGTCGCAGTCAAAAGGCTTTCGCAAACAGCCTCAAGGGAACAGGATGTTACCTCCACTTAGCTTGACTGCTTAGCCCTGTGCGAGTGTCTTAGACAAGAGAAACGCCGCTGCGCCAGTGGCATTTGAACACAATCAGAGCAGGAAACTGCTAAAGTGTCTCAAGACCACTCACTCACTTGACACACATGCTTCAAAGGTGGACAGAAGAGTGTCGCGGTAGTCCTAAGCTTGGATTGATGCCAAACTGGGCTTCGGACAGGAAAGAGTTTTTCTCTTGTCCTGCAATTGTTTATGGTTAAATGGGAGTTGGACATTAGTCAGTACGTGCAGGTGTCTGCTTTTTCGGTAAAGCACCTGTTAAAACAAGCTGGGAATTGCAAAGTAAAGTAAGATGGAAAACTACAACACTTTCTCTGCGAAACTAAATGCGTTACATTTTCACTTGCGCTCAACGGCCAAGTTGACTTTTGCTCCTATGGGAGAAATGGTCTTGATTGGGGAAATCTGTGTGAAAAAAAAAAAAAAATAATAATCATAAAATACACAACAGGCTAGGCAATAAACAGATAGAGTCAAGCCTGGCAAATTATAGTGCCAAAGCTTGTATATAGATACTAAAAATAAAATAGATTACATAAGGATAAACTGAGCATTCTGGTGGTTATAGTTGTAAGAGCTGATTCCTTACGGTCAATGATACAATTAAGACGAATCCACGGTAACGTCAACATGATCAGGAAAAGTATCGGAGTACTATTATTAAGAGTCAATGAGGTGGAAAAGTAATCCAAACAATCAGGAACGCTCAAGGCTTCACAATGAAGACTTCGTTTTGGAATGAATAATGAGGTCTCCTAATGACAGTTTGGGTTTTTTTTTTTTGCACTTGGCCCAAAAAAATGCAACATGCGCGTTTTTTGGGGCATGTATTTAAAAAATAATAAATCTAATCACAAAATGTATGGATAGAAAGGAAATTTCTACCGATTATGCCATGAATTAATCAGATAAAAAAACGATTTTGCATTGGTAAACACAGTAAGGTTCAGGTATTCTTTTTGTCCGCTCAGGGTTGCCATCCTCACCTTCTACACATCCATCGGTGACTTTTGCATTCCGATACATTCTAACTAGTGATGGCAGGCTGTATTAAATTCGCTAACATCGATACGTTACTTTGTGTGGACAATCGAGAATCTGCTGTTGTGGTACACATTGCGCTATATACCATACCGTACGTCAGCCCATCCGCCATACTGTATGTGGCTTGAATTATTAGATATAAATTTGGCGAATAATATCGTAAAACTGAGCAAGCTTAACACTCAAGAAGGCGTCTTTGTATATGTCATGTAAACGTGGTGTATGATAATGCTTGCGGTTGTCATAAAAAGTGCCATTCAAGATGGCAGTGCTACGCGAATGTATGGAGCAAAGTGAGTGCTGTCTCATGCCTCTGTCCCACGGCGTCATGCACGGACAATGTCTTTTTTTTTTTTTCCCGGAGAGGGGGGGAGGACAAAGACGGAGGACGATTATTATATGAATAAGTACGGAGGGACAATGACTGAAGGGTACCCAGGTCGCGGACAGAGCGGCAAAATAGGGTAAAGTGCCCATCTCTGCTAAGAGGAACAACCAATGATGCTTCTCATGAAGACCCAACTGTGTGTTTGTCATTGTCATAGCAACCCGAGACCATCTTCTTGATTGGTCGACGCTGGTACTTGAAAAATAGATCTTAGTCTTGATCATCCTTTAGTCTCGTAAATGTCGCCCAACTTTGTTGAAGTGCACCCTAATTGGTTTCAATGCCTGTTATAATACCATTCCAAGTTTCAGTCTCTCTGTGTCGACTTAGAATGCAGGATTTACAAGCGCACGGTTTATTTGTAAGGAAAATCACGGCTATAGAAATCGTCACCAAAGCGCTTAATGCTTGGGATTAGTTCAAGATCTCGTCAAAGGGCGAGGAGACCTCGTATAAGCCAGGAGAAGTGGGGGGGATCAAACGCGTGTTATGGGAATGAAGGTTAAAGTGAATGACTACTAAAATGGAAAATGGGCAGCAATTCACAATGGGAAATCTATTCCTTTTATTCTACTGGAAAATCGGGCAATTCATACGCTCCGCAAAATATCCCTCTCCCAAAAATATTGGTTATTTTCAAACTTCCTACACCAAACGCCACATCAAAAAATACCTCTCAAGGGACCATCATAATGACCAAAAATAAAATACAGTACCGTGTTCATCAAAACCAGAGGCTTGATTCTCAAAAAATATATTAACGTAAGCCAAACACATTAATGGTGCTCTTAAATAAAGGTTTGAAAAAAAAAAAAAAATCAAAAGTACAAAGTGTGCTGTTTTGGCTTCAAAATTAATAACTGAGCCAAAATATAATAGAAACACACGTATTGCTTGCTTGCACCAAGATGATTTCCATATAGCAGGGGTGGCAAACTCATTTTTGTCACGAGCCACATTTTAGTTACCGTTTTCCTTGTGGGGCCGTTATGACTGAAACCATATGAAGAAGTCAAGAATAAATGTTCATTAACCTATTGTTAAAGTTACTGTAATGAGGGGTTTGGTAACAAGAACATGCTTCCAGTATCACTCTTATTTATTACAAATGAGAATTTGAAATGTTGGTCGCGATTTTAGCAAGCATCATGAAAGTTGCCATCTTTGAATTGCTTTCGCGGGCCACATAAAATGATATGGCGGCCCAGATCTGGCCCCCGGGCCTTGAGTTTGACACATGTGCCATATAGAAAGGACACAAAGTAAAAATAGCGGATGAAGCCACCACAGCTTTCACGTGCCAACAAATCCAAAGGCATCTTCTAGAAGGTTTGGAAAAAAACTCATTTTATTTGGTTCTCTGGAATAAGCTGATTACATACGTGACATAAAGAAGATGCCCCTGAATTCCTTGACAAGCCACCATGGTATAATTTGCAATTCCAGTCTTGGAAAATTACCGTCTGAGGATGTGGTTGCACGAGATGCTGTTTACCACGGAGTGGTCCGAACATTGAGGTGGAGTGGATTCCGGAAGGTGGATTTAAAGCCAGTTAAAAAAAAAAAAAAAAAGACTGAAGTACTAACAAACACAATTACAGCTCTTTGAAGGTTGTTCGAGCCGAGTTCATGGGGACCGATTGGCAAAAACCTGCTTGCAAGGGAAAAATGTATCCCGCAAGACACGTCTAAACATATCAAAGACTAGAAACCGACAGAACCGACAGAGTACAAAGCGACAGAACACCAAACTTTCACCTTCCTGCTCTGATTCCGTTTAAAAACGTGACCGTGGATACAAACAACTGCGGCTATCGGCGCATGAACCGCAAATGTGCACTGTGGGTAACACTGAAAGGAAAAAAAAAAAAAATTGAAATAGACAAACATGATTTCGGTGATTGTTATCACTCGTGTAAACAGCAATCAACCCGGCTGCTGCACACGTGGGGTCAGACGACAGAGCGAAATGAAAAATATGAAGGGTATCAGTAGGCAAGAGGCACATTGGGTTGTCCAAATAAAGCCTACTGAAGGAGTAATTCATGTTTTGTTTTGGGTTTTTTTAACCTATTCAAGCCAATGTCATGTGAGCGAAGTGTGTTGGTGGGTTGGGCAGAGGGGTCACACAGAATGAAAGATTGTACGATTGCCTCAGAAACTCTCATTTTGTGAGGTCATCCGAGATGATGCCACAGCAGACGCGAGCTCACTGACCAGCGGCTAAATCAGACAATGGACGATGCTGCGTTGTACTGAATGCACTATCCTTAATAAAAAAAGAAAAAAGAAAAAAAAAAAAGAATAATTGGGGCCTGCAGTAGCTTTCATAAGCCCTGTAGAGATTGAAAAGGCCCCATACAGCCCCTCTAGCTGTTATTCTAAAGGTTTTGCAAAGAAAAAAACAACAAAGTTACATGAAAGCTTTCTCTCTAAAAGGCAAAATGAAAAGAGCAAATGGGAGGGATGCTAGTTGGCGTTTCACTGGGAGCATATTTTATACATTCCCAGACTCACCCTCTAAACCCTTTTCAGATGGTTATTTTCCAACAAAAATGGTTCATAATATGCTAAGGCCCGCCGCACACCGAGCAACGGGGCCAAATCCGACTGAAGTGAACTACAGTCGTACCTCGGTTTTCGACCATAATCTGTTCCAGAAGGCTGTTCGAAAAGCGATTTGTTCGAAAACCAAAACTATTTTATTAGCCCATGATTAGGGGCTAATGCACTATGCAGAAAAAAACAAACCAAAAAACCCATCAGATTTGCGTAAATCACAACAAACATGTCTGACCAAAATTATTTTATTAGCCCATGATTAGGGGTTAATACACTATTAGAAAAAAACAAACCAAAAAAACCATCAGATTTGCGTAAATCACAACAAACATGTCTGCTCACAATGAACGTTAGTCACTTCCTCGTTTAAGGAAGCCGAGTGGCATATTTGCGTTTGCTCACAAGGAAGCGTCACTTCCTTGTTTAAGGAAGCCGAGTGGCATATTTGCGTTTGCTCACTTTGGTCGAAAACCGGTTTTCGGTCGTAATCCGAGGCATAAAAATCTCCAATTTTCTGGTCGAAATCCCATTTGGTCGATAACAGAGACGTTAGAAAACCGAGGTTTGTATTTTTTTTTTTTTTAAATCCCATTTGGTCGATAACAGAGATGTTAGAAAAAAGAGGTTTGACTGTATTTTTTTTTTTTTTTTTTTTAGTTCACGACTTTGCACATCAAGGAACTGAGCCCCGCATATCTTCCGGTGTGCTGCAATCGGAGACTGTATCTGGTATAACGAATTATGCATTACTACTAGAAATGTGTGAAAACGTGTGAACGAGGGGCACGCAGGACACGTGCATACGCACAATAGCATCTCCTTGTGCTTGCACATCAAGCAACTGAGCACCGCATATCTTCCGGTGTGCTGCAACCAGAGACTGTATCTGGTATAACGAATTATGCATTACTGCTAGAAATGTGTGAAAGGACACGTGCATACGCACAATAGCATCTCCTTGTGTTTACGTTTCCGATGTACAGTATTAGCGAGGTTTAGGTGTGAGTCGGGTTAAACAAAGCCAGGATAAAAGTCCTTTAACAAGACTACAATTGCTTTAAAACCAGCGCTAGGACTGAAAAGCCACTTTGAATTGTAAACCGATATTGTTGCCACAGCAGCAAGTTTTGTTTTGGAAAAAAGGTCCCAAAGGCTCGATTCAAGCTCCAACATATTTAGCACACATTAAGCGTGACAAAAAAAACAATTGGATACACCTTATGAGTTGACAGGAGGTTCTAAGTGTGTGTGTATGTGTGTGTGTGTGTGTGTGTGTGTATGTTTTTTGAAGGACACATTGGCCATTAAAAATATAAGTTGTTAATATCGCTTCCATAAACGTTAGTTTAGTGTGCTCAGATTTTGGAAGCACTCACTGAGATGAGTAATTTGTAAAAGGGCATGATACAGGAAATAGGCAGCTCTGGCATGTCTTTTCTTCCATACTCTCATCGCCGTGACGAGGCACAACCTGATGAAAAATATTCTCGTTTAGTATCTCCAAGACTGCAGAGTTGAAATCTAGAGGCCAGATCCATTCTGCCGGGCAGGCCTTTACACCGTCTATGTGTCCAAACAACCAAGCTGGTTTCTTCCATTTTGCACGACCATGACAACGCACTGCACTGTTATCGCATCACATCTCTTTTCTTTTGACTTTGCACACATCTTAAACCGCCCCGTGCCCTTTCCATCCAGACGCTAATTCTTTCATATAATATGTAGCGTATTTCATCATTTTTGGTCCTTGCCTCAGTCATGACCATTATAAACTATACTCAAAGTCACACATCCTCTCTCAAGGTGAAATCAGGTTTCTCATATCTGGCTTCAAGACTCACAGTGGTCTTCTTTTTGGATGAAAATGAGTGACCTCTGTGGATTAGTGAATATATATATAAATATAACATTTCCAAATGTTGTGCGTGCGCTTTTTCCCCTCCTCTGATTAAAAAAAAAAAAAAACAGCTTCCGAGTCTGAAGACTGCTGCTTTTTGTTGGACAGCATCAATGCGTTAGTCCCTTTGGCGCCGATATAATTTTAATAAGACTTTGTGAAGCAGTCCATTGTCCACTGCCGAGCCTTGAAATAATCTCAGTTGTAGAGATATTCGGAATGTTCCAGACAGCTTTCGAGTGACCGTGAATAGGGCGGTGATAACACCATTGAAAAAGGGAATTGTCTGATATAAGTCAAAGAGATAAGGACACAATACGCTCAGTCAAGACCATTGAGAGCATTTCACAAATCTGAAAAATCAGCTATTACTAGAGAGAGAAGAGAAAGGCTTGCATGCTTGCCATTGTTTTTTTTTGTAATTCCTCAAGTGATCTTTCTTGAAAATTTAAACCATCTAATACATCTCCACAATCGTGTTAACATTCAAGATGTCCGCTTAAGAATTTCCCAGTTGAAGGAATGGACAGAATGTAACAGGCGGTTAGGCTGTTACGTTTTGCTAAAAAGAGAACATAACGCAGATAAACAACTCAAGCAGCATAATCGTGTTGGTCTAATGGCGGTAATGATGGGAAATAAATATAAATACAGAGCGAGTGAAATAACAACGGTGAAGCACTTCATATTATTGAAAAGGAAATTGTTTGGCACGCAATTAACAATCTGTTCGCTGTACCTTTGTGTCAAAAGCGCCTTTCACATCGCCCATCTTAACGGCGGGAAGGCAAAACGCCTGAAATTCACAACTATGTTCTTACCAGTCTCTCCTTGAAGACCATCTGTCGAAGCCACTTGAAGTCCAATGGCTTGAAAGCAGTCAAAACAAAAAGTGAATCCTTTTCGTAGAGTTCCGGCTTCTGGATGGCGCCCTCTGGGTAGGTAATTCTTATTGTGGTTTTGGTCCCTACATCCTTACCATAACCAGCCACCGGGGCTTCGTTCAATCTGGAAGACAAATGACATATGTCAAGATGAGCTTTGGATGCAAATAGTCAGTTGAGGATAAGCACAATGTCTAATTTTTCCAAGATATTTTGACCATCGAAACAGCCAAATGGCAGGTGTCACATCTGATGGTGTAATGGGGGGTGTGGGGGGCTTTCTGCTCAATGAGATACAGTTCAAGTTCAAGTCAACTTTATTGTCAAATGTGCTGCATGTGCAACATACAGCACAGATAAAATTACTTTCCTCTCAACCACAGGAGAGGGAGGAGCCGCTGCGGGTGCCCGCGCCGCCATCAAAAGAACAGTTAACATAAAATGACAAAATGATACAACACAACACATAAGACACAGACAGTCGTGCAACCTCAACCACTTTTTCTGCATACACTTTGTTGTTTGAAGCAGTTATAGGCGAAAGAGGAGAGAATCAAAGTGTCCTTTCACCAGTGGATCAAAGACGTCATGCTGAAAATGTGCACACGGCTGCTACAAGCTAAGTTTGAAAGCTTAGGTCAGGTCATAGGCCAAGGTCATAAATACTTTGGCAACAAGCAATTAATTTAGAAGCATATGGCTGTTGCTTACAGTTAAGCGAGAACGTATAGTTTACCGACAGGCATTCAAATAAAGCTTTTCAAATTAAGAGCGACATGCTATGGCGACTTGTTGCATGTCTCACCTGACCACGACGTCATAGTCATCGATACGTGAGCCCAGAGACTTGTTGGACAGGATACCGCCGTTGCCCACGATGATGCATTTTTTACAGCTGAGACTAAAATGTAGAAAGCGAGGATTATTAGCTGAGATTAAGTGAAAAAGTTTCTTTTTTTTTGAAGTGAGTACAATTTACCTGTCCAGTTCATCTCCTAGTCCAAAGTTTTTGGTGGTCGTTAAAATGCTGTCAATGATTCTTTCTGGGGAAGAAAGAAAAAAAATTCTATCATGAATACAAAAGACATTATAGCATCTGGGTCAACAAAATGCCAACAGGACTTCACATACAACGACAGGTAGCGCAAACTAGGTGGTCTTAAGCACAGCCGGAGCAGAGAACACCTCTCTCCGTTTATTCAATGAGCAGATAAGGAGTGACCAAATCAACCCTCAGAAATAGAGGGGAGTTATGAAAAGCGTGGGGGCTGAGTTCTTACGAGAAGTGAACCGAGGAGACAATGATATGTCGGGTTCAGAAAGGTATGTGGGTCGATGTACTTTGTCGAAACGCTCCTTAAAAGCACGCGGGGAGGAATGCCGTTTTCAAACACGTGCGAGTTAAGTGGGCTGATATTGAGCTCATCTCCCTGCATGGCGAGAAGCCCTGTGATAGCAGGGTGTGGCAAAAGGGGATGTTTAGTCAGAGCAGACACGCCGGCCATGTTCGACGGCATTTTGTGCAAGTGTCATGTTTTCAGCATGGCACGTTCAATGTTTAGGCCCCTCGCACAGATAGTTCTTTTTATCCGTCATATCCGAAAGTCGATTAGAGTTGAAAAAAAAAACAAAAGACAGTGGCACCTTAAGATACGAATTGAATTAATTCCATGACTGCACTTGTAACTCAAAGCAGTCTTATCTCAAATCATCTTTCTACGTTGAAATTAATTTAAAAAAATACATTCCAGTCTATACTTATGTACCCTGTCATGACAATAAATAGAATATAAAGAACTGAACAGCTTTAGCCACATTTTTTTAAACTTCAACTTAATGGACATTGTGCTGCTCCTCCTGTTGTGCACGCCACCTCAGCATTTTTGCAAACATGAATACACAAGGCGACAGTCGCAGCTTTTCCAATAAGCTGCAGAATGATTCGTTATTCTTTGCAGCGCATCAACAATTTTGCTGTGGGTATGGTATTCTGTCTACATTTGTTGTCCCACCCTTTGTGTTCAAACATCAATTGCTTAAAGAGTTCGTTAGCCCGTCGAAGGAATTTTGGTTGTTTGTTTACTTGGGCAAGCAAAGTTATGTGGTTGTTTTCAATACACAACGTGCAGTTCTTTGCTTTGTTTAGTTCGACAGTAAACTTCAACTCAAAGCGGCAATAAACAGCATCAAGCCTCTTTTTTTTTTTTTTTTTTTAAGAAGAAGAAGAATTGTTCACTATCTTCCAAACTAGTGCAGGTTGTTAAATGAGTTGAATTCACTGTCACCATACAAGCATCAAACGCCCGATGTTGTTTTGGTCACAAAAAAAAGCATGAAGAAAAAATGGCTTTATTACGATAAAGGAATTCAGGGAGCCTCGACAAAGTGTTTTCGACATTACACAACACCCCTTTCACTAGCGAAATGATTAACCTGCTGACGGCAAGAGAGAAAAGCACCGCGGCGCCATTGTTTGGATGTGGTGTCGATGTCTGGCATCAAGCATCGCCCTTGAGCAGCATAAACACATGCTTAAGGACCACACCTGGATCCAAGCAGGTCATCGTGACAAATCTCAACGGGTAAGATTCGCTTTCCAGAGGGGATGACATGATAGTTATGATAATCGTTGCAAATACCCGACTGTAAACATTTCCGTCGAGTACGTGTCATGACACAAGCAGAGACAAATGGCCACAACACTGCGCTTGAATGACAAAACGCTTTAATGGCAACAAAGAGGATTAGTATTGGAAGTATCGGGCGACACGTAAAACACTGACTATTTGCTAGAAGTACCGCAGCCTCAACAGTATAATACATCAAGAGAGGAAAGTACTTTTTGTGGGTCTTCTGATGCAACTCAAATGTTGACAACAGAAATCTCCCAAATGCTTTTTCAATAGTTATCGGTCCATTTGGGATTCAATCTTGTGGGTGAGCCGGACTATATTCGAGCCAAATGCGGGCTAGATGCAAAGTCAGAGTCAGTTCACTTAATTGCAGCGTGACATAACGCCACGGCTACCGTTAACATCGTACTCCGACAGCCAAAAACAGCAAGCGAGTGAGTGCATTCCATCTGGCTGCATCATCCAACAGCCGTAACACTGCAGAGCTTTAGGACAATTCATGAAATGCAGGTACTTCATTATGTAGGAACTGTTTATTTGAACATGTCATAAGGAGCATGCCCAGACGTTGCGTCAAAGTGCATACGGGCAAGTGGAGGTCACAGACACGACTGAGCCACATTACGAGTTATCATGTGCGCCCAGAACACAATATTTTCACATTTCAAATAGACTAAATGAAAACGTTTCTCATCCTTGATTGAGCAAAGGCACTCATTTGAAATCCGGATACTCACAGGAAGTTATTTATTCTGTGTGTGAATGAACAGCAGCAGGTGACTATTGTAGGTTTGGTGCAACTTCTGCGATCGAACTGAACAGGACTTTGTTGATCTGCCTGTCACCTTATACGTCACCGGTTCACGATCGATGAACAGATATATAGAATACCGTATTTTCTGCAGTATAAGGCGCTTCGGACGATAAGGCGCACCTTCAGTGAATGTCCTATTTTAAAACTTTTTCAGATATTGGGCACATAGAATAGAAGCTACAATAGCGGCTGTGGTTGCATTATGCATCCACTAGATGGAGCTACACTAAAGGGAATACAATACGGCTTTATTTATATAGAGCTTTCACAACCGCTGCAGCTGTAACAAAGCACTTTACAGAACATTAAAAAAAAAAAAAAAAAAAACTACGTCCAAGAAATCAGAATATTGATCCATATACAAGGTGCATCGGATTATAGGGCGCACTGCCGGCTTTTGAGAAAACTGAATGCTTTTCAGGTGCGCCTTGTAGTATGGAAAACACGGTACATAGAAATTCTAAGCATAGAAAAACTATTGAGAGTGCGTCTTTCGTTATATTGAAACTTTAGGGACGTAACTATTCATCAAAAATCAATTTAAAATGCTTAATATATTGATTGAAATTTTGATCGCAAAAGGATTTTTATTGATAAAAGTCAACTCCATTGTAGATTTTCATGTTTAGTTCTGGCACTAACAAAGCACTGATAATACAAAAATGTAGTTAAACAGTCACAAAATGATTGGTTCATTTTCAAGTTTTTATAAAGTTACAAAAAAAAAGTCACTGCTTGAAACAAGGACAAAATGCAGATGTTAAAGTTAAAACCATATTCTGGTTATAAATTGAGTCATACATTTTGTTCAAAAAAAATAATGAATAAATAAAATCGAACTGGGCTAAAAAAAAAAAAAAAAAAAAAAAAAAAATCAAACATCGAATCGGGGCTCGAGTGAATCGTTACATCCCTATGGAAACTATGGCCGTGCGGCATTCTATTCAAGACACGCTTGTTAACGCCCGCACCTGACAACCACGAAAGAGGGTAACCCGACTGCCATCGTGTTCCGCAGAGAAAAAAAGAGAGGCCAGGTGTAAAGCTTACACAGAGAGTGCCCAACTGATAAGCACAGTGACATGCGTTTGTGGATTGCACAAAAAAAAAACTCTGGAAGAACACAAAGATTGCATTCATTGTAGCAATGCTTCGAAGCACATAAAACCGAGGCCTGTGGAAAGTTTTGTCCTCTGAGCCAATGTCATCGTAAAGTGGCTTTGTATCGGAAACGTTTCAGGCATTTCGCTCTCATTATCGGACTCGATTCAGTGATATCTAGATAGGCGGCGGATGAGGTCAACTCTTCTTTTGAACGCAAAGCGTATTTCAACTCAAAGATCTCACTCAGATGGTTAAAAATAAAACAGCATCGACACTAGAAAAAGGGAGTGAGATATCATCATCATCGGGGACCAGCTTTGGGAACAAACTATTCAGGAACGATACAATAGCTGGCACAAAGGGAGGCCAGAAACAATGAATATTTCTTACCTTGTGTTTTGAATCCAAAAGGAGGCAAGTAATTGCTGACTTTTGTGAGACGTTTGAAGTTTTGGTCAAGAAACATGGGCGCTGCTTTTGTGAACCTGTAAGTCAGACAAGGGAGGAAGGAAAAGTGCAGCGGATGAGTTTATTTGCTCCGATGAACCTAAACCTATTCCAGCAAGAAACATCCTATCTGGATCGTTTATTTCACCGTAAATCGACCCAAACACACTTCGCCTCCTGTCTAAAGAGCACCATGAAAGCAAGCACAAAATAGTAAAATAAAACAGACCTTGAGGCCAATGTTTTTAATTAACTACGTGACCTGTAAATTCCACTATCGCTTCTCTCTTATCCTGTGTGTCTGTATTTGTCCCTCGATGACAAATTGATGGTGGGGGGGGGGGGGATCAAAGGCAGCCATTTCCTGAGAGTCACACCCGAAACGAGACTGCTGAGATACGGGTCACCTTTTTCATTGGAGCTGCAGGATGGATGTGTGTTTATTTGACCTGCCGCTGATGTGGGGAAACCAGGGAAGGCAAGACACTCTTTTCAGATTTTAGAACAGATGGTGCGCCAAAACTTTTTTTTGTTGCTGTTTGTTTCAACATCTCAGTGACATTTACAAGTCATTTTGATGATTCCTGCTTAGTTTAGCATTTTTTTTATTTTGTAGTGGGCAACACACCAACCCCAGTAACACTATTTGCACAGTCGTGGAAGGGAGAGACAGAAGGAGCACCGATTGAGTGCTACAAATGTATCTCCAGTAGTGCAAGATTGTTCCAAAACTCTCAGAAAGAAACCGCAGATTGTCCAGCTGACTGATGCCCTGACAGGAAATCCTCCAAAAGACTTTCCATCATCCACACTGGCGCAAGCCCAGAGATTGTAGCGAGTGTATACGGCTAAGTAGAGCTCATACAGACACTACAGTGCAAGATTATGAGTTGTCTTGGCGAAAACGAGAAGGCCGGGGGGGGGGGGGGGGGTGGTTCACAAGAACGACGGTATTTGGAGCTCAGCGGCACAACAACCAAACATGGCAGAAATTAAGAGGAAAACCTTGCAACTTCAACCTAGTCTCTTTTTCTAATCTGTCTTTAGATAGCGTCATTATGCTCCGGCTTCAAAGCGGGCGAGCCCGAGAGGTCGATTAAGAGAGGACAAGCAGCAGCCCTCTTGACGTTTCCGGACAGCAGCGCATGCATGTGAGAATTAGCAAAACAAATGGGGAGGGTTTTCATGAACCCATCAGACCTGTAAATTAAACAGGACCCGTGCAAATCACTTATGCCAGACCAACAGTCTGTCACTGACAAACAGAGACAGGGGGTGAAGGGGGCGCTTGTTGTGAAAAAGTGAGGGCTCCCAAAACAGCCAAGAGGCTACAACACATTGTCTTCATTTCCTTTGCAAAAGCCATCTCTCACTGGCAATATTTTCATAACCGTGTCACTTCAAGTTCAGTGGCAACACTCGATTAAGGGCTCCGGTCCAAACAGTTTGTGGTGAAACTGAAAGAAGTGGCAGGTGCGGAGAATTAATTGGACTGTAAAGGGCCAGAGCGTCAGAAGACAAACTTAGAGGAAACAACGGAAGATTAGAAGGAGAGGCCATGGACCCGTCTATTGACGGTTATGTTTTTCTTCCCCTAACAGCTGAACTATCCGCCACACCTATTTTCACAAAGCGCTGGAACATTTCGATTAATCTCACTGAAAAAAAAAAAACATTTGAAAATAGTCCTTTTATTATTTTTTTTAACCTTTTCAAACAATAGAGTATTCATTAAAATGTGTCGAACTGTGTTCATTTATCCCAAGACAAATGTAGACAGTGTGTGGGTTTGGACTAATTGTGCACATTGACCCATGTGCAGATGGGTTGAATGCAGTCGTAATCAATGAGCTCCCGTCGGGGGTTCTGCGTCGTGCACAACTTTGATGTGAGACACGTGTGGCTGATTAGAGCAAGTCATTACCACGAAGGACATCATTAACACAATACTGCTTTGTCTATCTTGTTACGCGAAGCTTTAATTTACCGGAAACATTTCATCGGTAGGAGCAATTTATAACATTTGAGTGGGTAGTTTATAAACACGGACAAGACATCTAATTCATATACTTTCTATCTCAGACTATCCAAAATTGGTGTGTATTTTATTTTAAAGACAATATTATTCAATAATATCACTCTGACTATGGCTGATTTTAACAGAATGAAGTCAACCCACATGGTGGGGGGTCAGGCCCTGCTGCGAATAGCAAAAATCTGCAAACAGTTGATGCCTCTCCCTTAAAAGGAGTTTGTAATTGCACACAGAAGCTAAAAGCTCTTGTAACGAAGAGGCTCGTGAAGCACCAAAAATCTAGCTTATATATGCAACGGATGCGAGGTTGTGCTGTGTGATTTTTCTGTTCGTAAAACCTCTCCCATCCGAGCCTTCAAAAAGGGTCCTGGGAGCTCAGTTGGAGGTTCCAGCTTTTACCTCGGCTCCCAATTCTTTTTGCTCAGGGCAACATAGATGTGACTGTCATCCGCACAACAGTGGAAGAAAATACTTGGGAATGGGACTGAAGGGCAGCAAATGCAGTGAAAACAGCAGGGGCCCCAAAATCGAACCCTGTGGAACACCATTAGGCAGAGCGGGACTCAGAGCAACCTAGGCTAACACAAAACGTCCTGTCAGCCAAATAGGATCTAAACCACTCTGGAGTCCTACCACTAATGCCCACCTGGTGCTGCAAACAAGCTGGCAGAATGCTGTGGTCCACCGTATCAAACGCTGCAGCTCGATCCAACAAAATAAGACAAACACAGTCTACGGTGACATTTGCCTGGTGGATCTGTCAAGCCCTTCACTATTCCATCCAAACATAATAGGGGTGACAAAAGCAAGTGCACTAACCCTTAGTATTGAGATGGAGGCAGCCATTTCCGTGGTTACTGGAAAACTCCCAATATGATGATGGCACTTTCATAAGCAATTTGAGACTATCAAAGCAATTTTTGAAAGTAATGTAAAAACTTTTTCCAAATTTTTTTTTCATTTATTTAAAACGATTGTATTTTGGGGGGCACAAGTGCATTCATTTCAAGGACAAACTGTTTTAATGGACAACTCCATCCCCCCAATAGTCTACTGTATGTGAATGTTGGTCATACATTGGTGAAAAGTCCCAGAAAATATGCCGTTTATTAGCCTTGTGCCAAGGATCCTAGTGGGACTATGTCCTAAAGATCAAACTGCATGGGCAACATTAAGCCTCATCAAAGGAGCATATGACATCACAGAAGGCCGTGAAGGTTTCTCTGGACTGTGTGGTTAGGGTACAAGGAAGCGGGTGATGAGTCATCGTACGATTGACAGGAAGTTGGTTGCTGCAGCTCACAGAGAAAGTCTGTGAAGATCCAAAATTTGATAGGAGAAAGATGGGGGACCTTGTATTCAAATGACAATGATTCTTTTGTGTCAAAGGAGGATCATGAGGACAACAGTCAAGTTTTGTGGTTGGGAACGAGATGATAGACCCATGACTGAAACTGGGGGGGATTGTACAGGAATGTGGGGGTTTCTCTGTTTCTATTTCAAAAGCCTTCAGGCACAGTTGGCTGTGAATGGCATCATACATGTGGGTATTCATATCTACTAATTTTTGTTTTTTTCCATCAATTAGCTCAAAATGAAAAAAACTGCTTATTTACAGAGATCTTGACATTTTAATCAAACTTCTTACACATCGGTAGTGATCTGCGCATTTGATTTGAAGAAAAGGCAACTTTTGTGTTAAATGTGAAAAAGGCAATCTCTCACTTTGGATAGATGCTTGTCATCTTGGCGCCCGCATAGCCCGGCTTGCACACGCCTTCGCTGAGATTGCCATACTTGTACGCCAACTCCGGTGGCCTGTAAATAAAAAGAGCGGAAGCACAGATTCATCAGTCCTCTGGTGATCGACGATTATTAATTACGCTGACACATTTCCAACCCTCAAAACCAAACTTGTCAAACAATCCAGTTGAGTGATCTTTAGGAAGTTGAAGAATTCCAACAGGTCAACGTGCCAAACGCGCGGCAAGACAAAGCAGAGAAGCCTTGTGCAAATAATCACAATGGCAGTGCTAAAACTAATACCACCAGATTAACAGCAGAATCATAAATAACGATGGAGTCTGCGAATCGAGTTCAAATAAACAGGGAGAGAGAATTGACAAAAAGCAACAAAATCTCCGAATGTGGGGGGAAAAAAAAAGTTTGAATCAACTTGTTAAAGATACGGTAATGCCGATAACTAAGCGTCATTGTCAATAGGAGCTGCATGACACAACAAACCCGCGTGATAGCAACTTGGGACACTCAATGAATAAAAATAAAAATATATATACTTACAATTTTGTGTCGAACTGCAGCAAAAAGCCCTGCTTGTCATACACTGCAAGAGAAAGACAAAAAAAAAAAAAAAAGATGGAAAATTATCTTTCATTAGTGTGGAGTGACACGTCACATTGGTTACGCATTGTCTACCAGCAGCGGTTGTAGTTGTAGACCAACAGCGTTTAAAAGGGATTAAGACAAACGAGCAAGGTTAGGGAGAAGCCAGCCAAAACAATCTGTTGAGTCTAAAAATAAAGTGAGGAAAAATGAAAAAGAGTTAGCGATCACCTATGGACAACCGAAGCGGAGGCCAATAGGTGCCTGCTATGTGTTGAGGGCAAAGCCGTTTCGAAGACATTGGAAAACAGAAAAAACATGTACCATAAATAAAAAGGGTGTCCCAGAAAAAAATGTATTCACATTTTGAACCGCTGAAATCCATTTTAGTTTCAAAATGAAACGGATTCTAAACTGATGATTACATTTCAAAGTGATATCTGTTCTCCCCAACTTCAGGGTTGGTCAACTCCGGGACTTTGTACTTCAACTGCATTTATAAACTCATGGCAAAATTTTGGGCTAAGTCACATTCGTTCAAAGATTTAAATTGTCAATCCAGTTTCCAAATGGTTAAAATATTTAAATTCATTCAAAATTAATCAATTAATCAAGTGTGTGTACATTTTGCGGGACACCCTACATTTATGATGTCATGAAAATGGAGACATGAACTACAGAGGCATAGTCTCAAGCCTGCCGCACACCGAGTGAGGCAGCCAAAAGCAACTGAACTGGATTACCGTGAAAAAAAAAAATAATAATAATAATACTGTACAGTCGCCGACCCCATGCCGCACATTAGCTGATTGACCCTTGCACAGGTGACTATCAGGAAACAACATTTGGGCTCAGGTGAAGAAAACATGGTCAGATATTAACGTGTATGTCAAGGAAACTATATTGGACCCTGGAAAAAAGGAAGGAAATCCAAAATTTAGACCTGTCTAGCATAGAAAGGCCCAATATTGATATAACCAAGCTGGCGGTGGCCAGCTAGATATCACTTCTACCCAGAAACATTTTTTTTTTTTTGCTCTGAAAGCTCATGGGCATCTCTGTTGAGACTCCTAACGCTTTGCTTTTTAATTTTTTTTTTTTTATCCACAGCCATCGAACCTAAGACGGCGGTTAAGTCAAGTTCAGTAGCGTTGCTTTGGTGTGCGGCCGGCTTTATATGACCACAATGTATCCCACCGGGCATTGTCCAATTTATGATGATACTGCTTGTGCCACAAATAATCAGGTTCTTGAGAGTATCAGCTCAAACAAAACTGTTAGTCCTCAAATGGAATCAGGATTTTTATCATCACAAATACCGTAAACACACAAGATTGATCCAAACTGATCTAACTGAAAGTTTCGCGTGGAAATAAAACAAATCAATTAATAAATATGTGGTGGTGGACAGCGCTGATAGACATCTGAAACCAATGCATCCCCCCGGGGGTCCCACGGTGGGATACAACTCATTTGCAATCATATCATATGACCTAATACAACTTTCTCATGAGGCTGACAACTCTAGAGGATATAATGCATGAATAAGATAACCATTAGTGGGAAGTAGAAAGCGCAGAGAGCATTACGCCTGTGGTTGTGGAGCTCGTCTTCACAGAGAAGCTGAAGGAGAAAGATAAAGACAAGCAAAAATGGGAAAGCATGACAGCTCATTAGGGAAGGATCCAAGCACTGCCGTGGAGGACGACGACGACATCTACCAAAACTACCAGGAGGACAAGTATGAGTGTGGGACATTACACTGTGAAAATAAATAAAGCCGTAGTATTGGACAAAAGAAGGATCATTGAAATCCAATACACTAAAACGCAGTCATACAGCAGACTGCATTTTACAGCTTCATAACCTAGCCAGCAGAGGGCAGTATTTCATTACAATGCGACTCGGGGAACGGGAAGTCACAGGCACGGCACACACTGTACATTTCACTATTTGAATCGAATTCCTAATCTCATAAAATCTTGAATAAAAGGTTAATCTTATCATGTGGGTATAGTTAAAAATGTTTTGTGTGTGTGTGGATTATCAAATCAGCTGCGTTTATTAACATTTAACAGATTTGCCTCTTTCACGTGACTGACTTTTTCAAGGAAGGCTCTTCCATTGTTTTTTTTTTTTTTTTTTTTGATTGGGGGGAGGAGGAGGAGTATGAGGGTAATAAATAAAATGAAAAAAGGTTCACTTGGCAGAGCTGCAGATGTACCTGAGCCTACTATTTGTCCCTCGGAGATATCCGTTTCCAGCTCTGAAACACAAAAGGGTTAGTTAGCAGCGTTTGAGGTCAATACTTGTCAGAGGCATTTTAACTTGAAATAACACTTAGGGAACCCAGCAAGTGCGCGGGAAGGAGAAAGATGGATTAGTAGATTTATTCCCAAGAGGCTGAATTGTAAATAGCCCATTACATATGCAAAGTCAGACGAAATGGAAACTGCCTTAAATCCACAAGCACACTCACTGTACTTTGGATATTATTGCAGCTTTGTGTTGAGCAATTCATGAAGATGGGAACGAACTAGGGCTGCCGAGATTAGTCGATTAATCATGACGACGTCGACAGTAGCGTTGATCCGGGTTAGTCGTGATGTCACTGGAAAAGTTACGCCTACTTCTCCCATAACTGTGGTATGCTAATGCTATCATGGCGAAGCGTCATCAGAAATCGAAAAATTCACTTATGTGGAGAAAGTTTTTCTCTCATTGAGTTTAATTTTGTTTTCTTGAACCCAGATGTACTCAGATGGTAGCAGTCTTATAAATGTAAAAACAAAACTAATGAGGCCATTGAAGTTAAAATATATTTTTATATGATAATATTTTGTATTCTAACAGTAATTGGTGTGTGTCTGCAACTGTGCATAGTTTTTTTTGTTTTATGTTTAAATGCACCGAACATTTGTTAACTAAGTTCAAATATTGTATTATCAGCATTGTCTTGGTTTTTAGATTGCCTAAGGAATGCTGGAAATTTTATAAAATTGGCCTGGAAACGTAATAAAAATGGAATGTACTATGTGTGCAGTATACTGCGATTTGCAAAAAAAAAAAATGCCTGAAGCATTGGCTACATCCGTAGTTTAACAGATCATTAACTGATGCACCTGAAATGAAACTATTAATACATGTCATCAGAATGTGGTTAATTTGTTCGTGTTTTCTAAAAATAAATAAATAAACAAATAAATGACTTTGTTATTTTAGGGGGCTGACGATGTGATCTGATTAGTCGACTACCAAAATAATCGTTTGTGGCAGCCCTAGGACGAACACAGCCACTTTCGGTGAGAAAATGAAAAGGTAGATGAAATGTGCAAGGAGACGTTTGAGTTATTCAATTAGGAGTGATTTATATTCCATGAAAATCAACCACCACCACCTAGCAGCCCATAGGTAGACTGTCACCTAAGTTTCAAATGGGCGGCCCCAGGCCCACTACCTGCAATTCGATTCACTTCATTGTCGTTAGTGAGGACTACGGCTGCCACGTCAGCACCAATTTCTGAAAACAAAAAGGGGGTTAAGATTCTGAAAAACAATCACGGTGAGAGAAACTAAAGCCATATGAAGGTTTTTACACATTAAAGACAACGCGGACCGAAAAAGTGACAGAGGCGGCAAATGGGGACAGAGTGAAAATATTTTCTCAATCGGGGTGCCTTCAGGGAAGAGAAAAGTGAGGGTGACGCAAAGGCCCGCCGCACACAGCACGCAGCTGAATGCGATCCAAGTGGACCTGGCGGAAGGGGTGGGCAGGGGGGACAAAACAACAACAATACAGGTGGCGACTTTGCACACCAATCGACTGAGCGCTAGACATCTACAGGCGCGCAGCAACGGAAAAATTGTGACGCTATTTTTAAAAAAATTCTAATACATACTGTAAATCCTAAATGACTTATTGGTATCAAAAGATTTAATCAATACACTCACTTTTGCCGTCAAGGATGACTGAGGGGGAAATATATATATATATATATATATATATATATATATTTTTTTTTTTTTTTAAAGCCTAACTTGGCCAGCACTAAAAGCTTGAAAGAAAAATAATCAATGGGAAAAACCAAGATGGCTAACAGGGATTAATTACAGCACTAGAAGTCCAACCAAAAGAAAATCAAACGTTGAAAAAGCTGCATCTACATCTTTATCCATCAAAGGAACCGGAAAAACCTTTGCATGCACAATTCCAACTGTTCAACGTTTCAAAACATTTTGGCCAGCTTGCTGTACTCGAACAAGAAGCTCAATGGCAAAATGTACCAAACTGGTGTTTGATCCGTGAAAGGACCAAAAAAAAAAAAAAGTCGTCTTAATTAAGCTGTTCACACTTTTGAAAACTCCGACCAATTTAGCAACAGTACTTTGTCACTGTGAGGCTTCAACCCGGATGTTTTCAGAGGGGAGGAAGTGGCCACCGAGCTTCAAGTGTCAAAAAGTGTCATCGGCAGCAGGTTGCAACAAAGACAAAGAAAGACTGGAAAAGTCACAGAAAGCGGACATCCTGTGAAATGGAATTGGCCCCAATTTCCACATCAAAGTGAGAGCTGAATGGGTTGCCAAGCAACAGAACGCTCCTGTGGTGCATCAAATACCCCAAAAAAAATTTTTTTTATAACTCACGGCCTTTTGGGACTGAAAACAACTTCAGTGTATATAAGCGGAAACATTTCCAATCAAACGGTCTCCACGTGATAATCCAACTTTGTAAAAGTCAAACACTGCCACATGACGTAGTGTTTACAGCGCATTTTAAAATTCACCTTGTCATGTCAAACTAAACTCCTGATATGAATCGATATGATTGCAAATGTCCCCATTCCGGGACTAACGAAAAAGCAGGAGCGAGAAATTAAAACATTTTACGGATCATGAACAAGCACATTTGATTGCTGATCAAAATCTACAGGCAGTCTGTCTGCATGAATTCGAAAACAGTTTGCTTGAAAATAAAGACGCCCCCCCCCCCCCACTCCTCCTCACCCCAACACTATAGCTGTGGCGACCATCTGGCCGGATCTGCATAAAAGCAGCTGGTTGAGTACATGTTAATCATTGCCAACAATGTTTAGGAGGTCAGCATTAACTGCAAATGTGTCTGTATGGATTACAGATCGGATGGATTTCCATAGCCCCGCCGCCAGATGAAAAATGACGCAACATCCCACTCGCTCCGACAATCTGTTGAGTGACATGACAGCGTTCTGATGAAGAGGACATCATCCTCTATAAGGAGGATCAAAGCCAGTCTTTTTGAAAGCCAATGTACTGTAGCTTGTCTTTGCTTTTGAGTCATTGGCGGGCTAACACTGTCATGGTGGTAAAGCAGCATACCTTTTACGCGATGGAGACAACGATCACTATTCTGCCTACACGCCGCAGGAGAAGGTGGGTCGGAGTTTGTCATTCCAAACGGACCAAGACAAACCAAACAATGTACCAGAGCCCTGAAAAGTATGGAGCACGCCACGTCAACCTGAGCTCGGACTTTATGTCGTAAAGCTTAAAGTACATTTGTTTAGTACAGTTCAGTTGGATTGAACTTTTAATTGCAGTACAGCCGCATGTAACCGTATCAAACTGTTTTCGAACAATTCATTTGGGGCAATTTTGATTCAAGTCGCGTGCGATACATTTATGTTTGGGTAAATTCTCAATCGAGGTCATCCAGGTTGAATCGAAGCAAAGGGACTGTTTTGTGTTAAATTTTCTTTCTTTTTTTTCGCGGTTATGCTATCAGGGCTAACAATATATTTTTTTAATGGTCATAAAAATAAAAAGTACAGTCAAAATACTACAAATGGCGATTGGGTGGAACAAAAATGCAACACTATCAGTTCCGCGGATGCAAAAAAAATCTGTCACATACAAACACCGCCTTGCATTCATTCGTCTTCGCACATGAAACATCTTTAACTTGTACTTAGCAGTCATGTGGAGTAAAGCAGTAAAGGTAACAAACATTCCTCAATAATCCTAAAACAAATCCAAAGTAGTTTAGCCAGAAATAAAATCCTACCCTATTGAAAAACATGAAATCAATAACATGTAAAGAATGTTACTTTAGACTGGAGAGGATGAAAGAAAAAAGACATTCAAGGCAAAATAAAAGATGACGTCGTTCAAGAGAAATCTTGTAGCGCCCTCTGCTGGTATGTGACAGCAGTTTCAGGAAGTAGACAGGCAATTTCAGTTTCAGTTTTAGGACACGTTGCCAAATAAGTCTCTGTGACCGTTAGCAAGCTACTCGGCTGTATCAATCCAAATCTCTTTCAAGACAATGTGTTCATTTACATGACAACAGCACTGTGGTAAGACACAAAGCTTTAAAAAAAATTTATACAGTGGAAGCACCTGATAACGCTGGCGTCATTGTTCAAAAGTAAACACCGAATGAAGCACCTTTTCGAAAACAGAGCGGCACATTCAGCAGAATGGCAGGACCACAGCACTATTGTTGCGCGTGCGCCGCTCAATCACAATACAATCGGAACGACTATTCCGACACACGTCTCCTTGTTTGAAGCAGTTAACAATCAAAGAGGAGAGAATCAAAGTCTCCTTCCACCAGCGGTTTAGAGACATCATCATCGCAGCATGCAAGATGTCACTTAGCAGTCATGTGGAGTAAAGCAGTAAAGGTAACAAACATTCCTCAATAATCCTAAAACAAATCCAAAGTAGTTTCGCCAGAAATAAAATCCTACCCTATTGAAAAACATGAAATCAATAACATGTAAAGAATGTTACTTTAGACTGGAGAGGATGAAAGAAAAAAGACATTCAAGGCAAAATAAAAGATGACGTCGTTCAAGAGAAATCTTGTAGCGCCCTCTGCTGGTATGTGACAGCAGTTTCAGGAAGTAGACAGGCAATTTCAGTTTCAGTTTTAGGACACGTTGCCAAATAAGTCTCTGTGACCGTTAGCAAGCTACTCGGCTGTATCAATCCAAATCTCTTTCAAGACAATGTGTTCATTTACATGACAACAGCACTGTGGTAAGACACAAAGCTTTAAAAAAAATTTATACAGTGGAAGCACCTGATAACGCTGGCGTCATTGTTCAAAAGTAAACACCGAATGAAGCACCTTTTCGAAAACAGAGCGGCACATTCAGCAGAATGGCAGGACCACAGCACTATTGTTGCGCGTGCGCCGCTCAATCACAATACAATCGGAACGACTATTCCGACACACGTCTCCTTGTTTGAAGCAGTTAACAATCAAAGAGGAGAGAATCAAAGTCTCCTTCCACCAGCGGTTTAGAGACATCATCATCGCAGCATGCAAGATGTCACACACGTCTGCGACAAGCTAAGTTTGGGCGTAGACAAGAAGCCGTCTCGTCCACTGACGAATACAGAAATTTGTTCAGTTGTCCGGTCACACCCAGATCCGCTTCACTTCCAAGGGCCGACTCGCCAAATACGCTTCAACGCTGTGCATCAACTCTCTCGCTCTCTCCCTCCCCCCGCTCATCCTCAGCCACCCATCCAGCCGCACCAATGCAAACTGCCCAACAGCGCCAACCTCTCCACTGAACAAAACGGGGGGAGTGAAAAAACACTGCCCACCATCGGGCGCAAAAATCAGCTCAAAATATTCATAAATGAATCATCAGTTTTTGATGCATTGCCGCCTGAGGGAATCGAAGTTCACTGGCAATCAATGTTGGTTTTCATCCTTGCTGCTTACCATGCAGTTATTTCTCCAGATTCTCTGAACCGTTTCATATGATGGACCGCAGATGTTGAAAATCCCTAAAATCCTTGCAATTGTACGTTGTTTTATGTTCTAAGTCTTTGACAATATGAATAAAATTCAGAAAGGAAAAGCAGAATTAGGGCTGGATCTTAGATTTGCAAAGTGTCTGTCTGTGGTGACCCTTAACCTACGAGACACCCATTTAGGGAGAAATTCTATTCTATTCTATTTTTAAAGTGGAAATCTCAAGAATTCATGTCCTGCTGGTAGTTGAAAAAAATCAAAAGAACCTCAAAATTGTTGTCATTCTTGCACAACTTATTTGGATGGCGTGAGCGTTTTTAACATGCTGGTGATGGACAGGCCAAAGAAAACGTGCACAAGGTACTTCTCTCATCTCACGTTTTCCTCGCAACATCCACTACACTGGGGGGGGAACAAACACACCAAACCGAATGAAGAAACAAAAACAGTAATGGGCCGATGGAAGTTTATGGAAAAAAAACCAGACATGATTGTGAGCAATCAGCACAAAGCAGAAAACAGAAATGTTAAATGTTAAACAGAAGAAAAAATAAATAAAACATAAAGGAAATGTTTCGAAGATTCAGTGGCGATGAATAGGTTAGACGAGGCTTGTGACTTACGTGGCTTCTGGCCCCATACGTTCAGATGTAACTTCCCCGATGAGTAGTAAATAAAGCCAAGGACCAGCATGGGGCACAGGACAAACAGAAGCTTGTGTGTGGGCTTCATGGTCTTCAGACATGGCACTATCCAGGTCATCACCTGCATGACAAGAGCACAGCGGGGACATTTCATTTCCATATGCAACACTTGACGGGGGGAAGCTGGTTCTTTTTCCATGTTGTTGCCTTTTCCAGCTAGCAAGTCCTTCCCAAAATGGCGAGGGCTCTTCTCAACCTGGTCCAATCAGATAATTTGACAAATCTTGTTGAGAATAGATGGCACACACAAAATCTTTGCCAAGTTCTGGATTATTCTGCTTCATCTATCCCATCGTGACGTCTCCGTCGTTCATCTTGTTGACATTAGTGGCCTTCATTGTGACGCTTTGAAGATGGGTTGAGATCTGCGATGACCTTTCTTACGATAGCTGTTCCTGATTGCATCTCCGAAAGTTAAGAAAAGGGTTGCTTTGTCCAACAACGATCCAAGTTTACAATCACTATGTCTTTATGGATCTCGTGTGATCACTGAAGGTTCTGGAAGACTATGGAATGACTAGCACTAAGTGCACTTGCTAGCATTTTGACTCCATCACTGCTACAGCGCCCTCTCTGGTGTGGGTGGCAAGAAACACCCAAAAGTAGAGAAATAATCCACACAAAAATGACAATGTGGCAGTTGCAGTATTCATTTTTAGTTATTGCGTTCAGTAATTCTTGGGAGATATTTTTCAACCTCCACCCAGATTTTTCTTTGTTTTATCTCTCCATCTTTTATTAACGTTTGGCTTGGAACAACAGTCCGAAAATTGAAAATTGAATTACATATTGTTCAATTCTAAACAAATAGCCACATTCTTCTTCAGCTGTTTCCGGTTTATTGACACTTCCTTAGCAGTGCTTTTAGTCAGTTGTCTAAATCTATTTTTATTGTCAGAAGCTTCAAAATGAACCAATACTTCCAATGACACACATAAATAATTGTAAATAATTGAGTGGACTTCAGATCAAACAATATAATACAGCAACAAATTATGACCAACCAGCCAGCATCGGATGTCAACTCTGACCAATTTAAACATACAGCTCCCTTTTTTAGGTTCAAAAGTTTAGTCTCTGAGATTTATAATGTCTTAAATGTCATCTTTAGTAGACGTCAACATGAAATAAGAAGAGCAAAATGCCCCACCTCATTTCACTCAAGATATGAAACCATTCACGCTGGACCGCATTTCCTTAATTATTTTCAAGTCTTTACTTCTGATAAAAGGACTTGAAACACTGCTGTGCATAATAAAAGTAACAGCGCATTTAAACTGTTTTTACTTTTGAAAAAAAAACTACTGTTATCATTGAGAGGTTTGTTTAAAAACATTCAAATAATTCTCTAACAGTTGATGACTTATAAATTATGTTGACTATAAAAATCAGATTAACCATTTAGATTATAATTTGGAATGCAGCAGATGTTGCAATTTGACAAATGATTGCACAATCTAATGTGTTGAAAATGGCTTGCTCTCTTAGACAATGCAATAAAAGTGGTTGCGTAAACGTGTTATTTTTGGGCTCTCCTGAAAAGTCTTGATTTGGAGGTATGAGGATTCTACCCGACGCCAGCGATTGTCATATTTCATATTTGTATCGATTTGACACTGACGCACCATTCAAGAAAATAAATAACCTAAAGGTATCTGCCCGGTTTCACACTAGTTACTTATTTTCAACCATATTATTCTAAATTGGCAACGCTCTTACTTGAGTACATGTTTGGGATACTTTGCCGACCTCCGTCAATAAAAATCCAATTTATCTTCCCAAACTTTAAGAAAAGCCAGAGCTGCTAGCTGAACAAACATAACGGAACTTTGCGATACGAACGCTCCACGTCAGCCAAGCGGCGTACATACGTCGGCTACCGGAAAATAGTACGTTACCGTTTTTCCACGCTCCTAATAAACGACCTAAAAAGCCAAGTCGTGAAAATGCGTGTTGTGGTTTGTTTTTTGCCGGGGATGTCAGGCAGCGTTTTCACCAGCGAAAATGTTCAAACACTAGCTTGGCTATGCTAACGGGGAACATTTAGCCTCCGTGTTCAGTCGCCAGGCCTGCGGTAACAGCACGCCACTAGTCGGCTAAATGTGGCTGGAACGTTCCGCTCGTTGACGTAAAGGTACAGCAAGAAGCGAAATGTGATGAATTTGGACGTTATCAGAAACAAACGAGAAGAGGATGTATTTTAGCAGTACACATTGGGAAGGACAGCCGCAATATGACCAGAATTCCCCAATTAGTCTCGCGTAGAAAGAAAGCACGGTTGGCGTTTATCAGGGGGGAAAAAAAGAAGAGAAACAAAAGGGAAAAACAGAAAATATGTACCTTATATTCTCACAGAGTCTCTTGCTTCAACCCCAATCCTAATTGTTGTAATGGATGGGGTAATAAAAGAAGCGTGTTCTTGCTCTCCTCCAGGCCATGACGGTGAAACCCGAGAAAGTAACCCGAGGGCTCCGGACGCACAACAAGAGGAAAAGTGCCTGCTTCCACCGTTCAAGCGTGCATACATCAAGACATCAATTTTTGTAGAGGGATGGTGGGGGAAATGAAGCTCGTCCTCCACCCAGGGTAGCGGGAAGACTGTCAAGGTTGGTCACATGAGGCGTCTCGGTAAATGAGGAGTTACCACAACCTCCTCCTCCTCCTCTTGTTTCTTTTCCCGATCTCGTCCCTTTCGTTCTCCTCCTCCAATAAAAGCGCCTCTTCACCGGGGAGGGGGGGCTCACATGGTGCGACCCTCTGCAAGTCAGCTGCCCCTGGATGCTCGCATCGAGGTCGCTTTAGCCCTTTCCGACCCACTCCGCGTCCCATGATAACCTTGCAACTCGTGTTGGGGGGGGAGGGGGGATTAAAAAAAAGGCCAAAGCAATAATGTATTTTGTTTGATGGGCAGCACCCTCCCCAGCAAGGCTATTTTAGTAAACGAAAACTAACGGAATAACCAAAACTACAAATGGGGGGAAAATATTTCACCAACTAAAATAAAAACTTAAATGCCTTTTAAAAAGTAGCTGAAACTACATTTACGTTATCAAATAAACTACAATTACAGCAAAAGTGTTTTTCCGTTTTTGGCAATTCGTTAAATGCACGAGCCTTTGATGTTGATTTTAAATGTATTTATTTGGATATTACCGCATGGTTGTGAGCCTGAACAAGAGAAGGTCGAACAGTTGTCGGAAGTTGTAGTCCTAATGTGTGTTGCACAGACGTTACGTCATCAAACAGCAGCCCCCTCTACCAAAAAAAAAACCAGCCACCACGTGACGTCACTCATAGGAGACGAGGTTGCGTGCGGTTTTGGCCCGAATGGCTTATTAAAATATCTCTCTCTCTCTCTCTCTCTCTCTCTCTCTCTCTCTCTCTCTCTCTCTCTCTCTCTCTCTGCCTCTCTCTCTCTCTCCCCATCTCTCTTTCTCTTATCTTTATCTCTATATCATCCCCCATCACCATCTTCTTTCTCTCACTACCTACCCTTCATCCATTTCTATGTTTCTATCTCCCTCTATCAGTCTCTATATCCATCCCGCATCTATTTATAGCTCTAATTATCCATCTATTTATCTGATTTTCTATCTGTCAATCATCGATCTATTTATTTATCGCAAGGGTGTCAAACTTATTTTTGCTGCGGGCCACATCGTAGTTGTGGTGTCGTTCGGAAAGCTGTTATGACTGTGAACCCAAATAATATATGATTGTCTCATATTACATTTACACAACAAATTGATGAATAGTTTTCAGATCAGAGGCCAGCAAAACTGTTCCAACATTCTTATATTCCAACATTTTTCTTAAGAGTGAAGACAATTTGTAATTTTGGTAAGCGGGCGAGAAACATGAAGCACACACAGAAAGGCAATCATCAGTTAATTTTTGGTCGGGATTTTGCCACTGTGTAATATTAGCTCATCATGCGCAGCATCATGTAAGAGGAGCACTCAAATGCTTGCGTCAGCTGCCTCTTTCAGTATTTTCCCAGAAGTGGGTGTTGTACACTGACAATGAGGACATCAGCTATTAACACGAGGTCTCTGTGGTTGGCCTCTGTAGTCGATTTGAGTGGCTTGTAACAAAGCTGGCAGTGACAAGATCTGTACATCGGTATTTGGTGAGTCCGGATGTTGCTGGGCCTGGTGGACTCCGTGTGCCTTTTGGCTTAATAAGCCAAATATGTTTGAAGGAATGATTGAGGTGGTGCAGACGCTGGCAGAGGGGTGGGAAACGTGGGGGTAGGGACACTGCCTCCCCTGATGTCTGCATAGACCAACACCCCCGACCCCCACAGGTGCCAGGCCAGGCCAGATAATTGACTTTGGGGTGTTTTCCGATTCTTCTGGGGATTATTTTCCACATTTCTCGCTGTTCTCCGTAGATAACATAAAATGCACTTTTATCTGTGTTTTCTGAAGAATTTTGGGGTTTGGTTAAAAAAAAAAAGTCTGAATCTTAAATTAACCATCTACATTGTGACACCTTTTGTCCGTTGGGCATTTTACAGTATTGTATGGCAGATTCCTCCACAGACGCAAATCCATACTGCTATTTCTCACACCTCCTCAAATGACTCGGTTAACTCAGTTTAATTCATATTAATGTCATCATTCACAAGGCCTCCGCACCCTACATTAGCAGTTTTCAGGCAGAGGACCAAGTTACAAGAGCGCATTGGGGACCGCGGAGATAGCGGGCAGTCTTCCACTTTTGCCACGCAGTGTGTGTGTGTGTGTGTGTGTGTGTGTGTGTGTGTGTGTGTGTGTGTGTGGCAGGATAGTAAGCTGATCTATAAATATTAAATCAAGAAGGAAACACAATCTGCTTAGCCACTGTTCTCCCTTTGGAGGGGGGACAGTCCATCAGCAGAAGCCAGGAGAACAAACAGCACATGCAAACACTGATGTACTACATCTACACAACAGTGGTGGGAAGTAATAAAATTTTTTTTTGAAAAAACTCTGTTACTGGAGGTATTTCTACTTGCTTGAGTATTATTATTCTATTTTTCATTTTTGATTCAGACATTTGAAAACAGATGCCTGTACTTTTGACCATGTCAAAATAGACTTTTCTAAAGAAGACAACACAATATAAAAAAAAAAATTGGGACTAGATATAAGAGTCTTATGAAGCAAAAAAAAAAAAACCCACAACGGACGCCCTCAAGTTGGCAGCAAAGCACTACTATTGTCGAAAAGAAACTCCTCAACTTTCTTTAACATAGTTCCTTGGCACCAAGGTATCATAAGATGGCATCAAAGCACCGCTTCGTCGGTAGTTCCTTGGCACCGGGATGCGACAAGATGAAGCCAAAGCACTACGTTTGTCTAAAATCTAAATGAAGCTCCTCAACTCTCTTCAACATAGCTCCTTGCCACTGTTTGACGGTGATGCACATTTAAGGTTGCATCTGATTGGTCAAGGTTAGATAGAAGCAGACAATTCCAAATGAATTCCTATCTTTGCGATACGCATGTGCCATAATAAAGATGACATTTTTTTTATTATCTTCAGAGCCTGTACTTTTTTACATCTCCTATAAGTGAGTCAGCAAACTGCGTCTCCTCAACGTGTCTGGAGTTACAAAGATACATGGCTTGCTTCACGAGGAACTGTTCGAGACACGGAAACCACGGTTTGTTTGTTTTTCTATTGTCTTTGCTCAATGGACATCCGACATCAAGATGCCCAAAGGAGGCCGTGCGTGTCTTGAAGTCTGTTAGGATCAATATGGGGGGATTTAAGTTGATTGTGCTCTGTGTCGTCCTCATTACTACTTACAGAGATGAAAGTCCTCCGGATTTTCCCGGAATTCCGGGTTTTTCAAATTTTTATGAAAATTTCTCCGGAGAATTGAGGAAAATTTGCATAATCCGGATATTAGTTGACAACATTGAACGAAGACGCGTTTGAGTTCGTTGTATTGCTTTCACGAGCGTAGCCATATTGAGGCACTAACACTAGTAACAGTAAAGAGATTTTTGTTTGTGTAATAACGACAGAAGGCATGATGGCGTTTGACTAATGGTTTAGGAAATCGAATGGCAACTCGCAACAACAGTAGCAAGCGTCATTTTGCCTCTTGGGTTATACCATCTCAACTAGAACGTGGGGGATAGTCCCCAAACAATTTTCGTCTCTTTATAAACACACCCGCTAAACCCCAGTGGAAAGAATAAAAGAGGCCGTCAACAAGACAGTTGTCGTAAAATATATATTTGGCCAAAAAGGAAAAAACACAGATTGGCAGAAAATCGTGTCCGTCCGACTTAGTGTCGTCTCGGCTAACTTAGCTTAGCTGTTGTCGTGTGTGACGTCATTTGCGTCGGCGCTGACTGGTTGAAATCAAAAGACGCGCTTGCGTACATGTTCGCGCTGAAACCCGCACAGCAGAGAGCAGCGGACTATCTACTGCTGAGGCTCGCTTAGCTTGAGTGG